CAAAGAATCTCTAAGGACAGAATTTCAGGCAACAGCTTGGGACATTTTAGGTGACAGCGCTTCTGATAAACCAGGACAAAGTTTGCTGCCAACTCACCAAGCCTAGGCTCATTGCCTGGTTACTGGGCTGACAGAGCTGGGGTGAGGAGTGAGGAAGTATTCCTGAACTCCTTCTTACTTGGGAGTACACACTCTGGACCATCAGGGTTAAAAATGCCTGGGACCAATGGTCAGTGTTCATTTTGCCTTGAAGTGGGAGAAATTCCTTCAGGCCCCAGAACCTCTGTAAACTCCTAGGAGAAAGGGAGGAGTGGGCACAAGTTGTACCTTTGTTTAGGAGCCTCCTAAAACTAGGATTCTCAGGCCAGAGACTTCTGGCTGCAGGGACCCATGTCACAACCAGCCACCCCAATTTCTATCTGCAGACTTCCCAGGACAGAAGGCCCAGTGAGACTGTGTAAGGAGTTTTAGCCTTTCTTGGTTTTCTTTTGGGGGGGGTCAGGGGAGCTTCTTAAAAGGGGGAAAGGGTAAGGGACTGGAGGGTCCTTAATGTTTATTTTCTGCCTAGCTGGTCTGCATTCCCTGGTTTTGGAGGCAGGGCAGAGAGCAAGATGGAGTCACTCATGTCAGTCAGGGGACTGTGTCAAGCAATGATGCAAGCAGCTAAGGGCACTGCAGCTGTAAGTCCAGTCACCTTAGGTCCTTTCACACCTACAGGGTATAAGACAGCTCAGTTGCTCCAACACCATGCCTACCTATGACACATCTTTCTGCAAATTACTTAATATGATTGGCACATACAATGCTACCTTAATATCAAAATCTGAAGTCAACCTACATGACATAACAAAGGAAGAGATCGTACCAATATGTCCATTATAACAATTATGTTCAATACATTTTTACTATCCTTTGATTAATAAAATCTCAATTGTGCAAGGAAAATCAACAGCATGGTGGGAAACATTGGGAATTGATTTTAATGCAAATTTAGTGACACATATTGATCCAGGTATGCAACAATATTTCTTTTCATTGATCCAACCATCAGATGCACAAGGCATGGAAAATACATGGTCAGCATAGCACCATATCTGTGAGAATATACCAGAACTGATTCCTCTATAGCAATTTACATAGCTAAAAGAGTCACCTTTGACAAATGTGCTGTACTACCCAATAGTTCAGGCCCATGTATTATTGAGAGAGGATGTTGGAATACTACACGGTGTATGAGAATTTGCCATTGGAAGCCACAATGGACACATGACATTACCAACACAACACCAAAACTCAAGCCAAATATGTTTGAACCTAATTACTTAACCCTCTGAGAATTGTATACAAACCTATGCCACAGAGATTGGAAATAACCTTCCAAAAGGAACAACTCAATTTGTTCTATTTACAACCCGAATGTAAAATTTATGCCACAGAGCTAGCAACAACCACCCATGAATGGCCCAACCAACCACCCGTCAATAGGATTGGAGTTAGAAAGCCTACAACCCTGGGTGGGGCTAGGCATTACCTCCAACTTAATTTTCTCTGGAATTCAGAAAGCAGACATCCAGACTCTTAAGCAGGAACTATCTGCATTAAAAAAACATGTGAACCCCTACTAAATCCAGTAGGATGTTTAGGTTCCAAGATCTCCTCAGCATTCAGAGAACCACATTCCATCGTCTCAACCATGCATGATTATCATGCCCACCAACTGGAATTTAACTATAACATTGACCATAAAGTTCAGGCCCTCCAGCAAAATTTACTTAATTTCAGACATTTCTACATAAGAGAACTAAAAAATAATTGCTGCAGAATCAATAACCTACTGGAGAGAGCACAGAATGATATCAGAAGCATTTCCTGTAGCAGGAAAAAGTATTCTTCTGACTGGATGGAGTCTCTCTTACAATTAGATACCTCCAGACCACCAAGTTGTGACAATACAGGACAATGTAAACTTTCATTGTTAAGACTTTTAGGGGGTCAGAGCATCTGGGTGGCTCAGTCGGTTAAGCATCTGCCTTCGGCTTGGGTCATGACCCCAGGGTCCTGGGATCGAGCCCTTGCATCGGGCTCCCTGCTCAGGGGGAGCCTGCTTCTCCCTCTCGCTCTGCCTGCTGCTCTGCCCACTTGTGCTCTCTCTCTCTCTCAAATAAATAAATAAAATCTTAAAAAAAAAGACTTTTAGGGGGTCAAAGCTTATTAGCATACGATATAGAGGCTGGACCACATAAATACATTATAGTACAGCACTTCCGGCAACACATACATCCTCGTGGATAATGGATATTTACTATCCAAAGAGATGGTATTTCAATGGTCTAATAACATGTATTATACCTGCCATGAATTGGAAATCAATGCTAATCTTTTTCCTTTAACAAGAACATCTATTGAAAATTTACTTTTGGACATGGGACACTTGAACTGGATAACTTGTAGTAATAACTTCTTAGAGGTCACGTTCTTTTTCTTTTATTTAAGATTTATTTATTTATTTGAGAGAGAGAGAGCATGTGAGCAGGGGGAGGGGCAGAGGGAGAAGAAGAGAGAATCCTCAAGCAGACACCCCGCTGAGTGTGTAGGCCGACTGGGGCTCTATCCCAGGACCCTGAGATCATGACCTGAGCTGAAATCAAGAGTCAGCTGCCCAACTGACTGAGCTACCCAGGTGCCCTTCAGAGGTCATGTTCTTTAATCATAGCAGAATGAATGATACTATCATAACTGTAGACAATGAGTGTGTTAAAATATTGTATGCTATTAGTGTAACATTTAGTAATGTTACCAAAATGGGTACCTTTGTCTCAGAATATTCATTTAAATTTTTTTCAACATTTTGTACTAAAATAACAGAAATACCTTGGGTGAAAATTAACAAAATTGATAAACTTTTAGATGAAAACTTAGAAGGGCTCAAAGCAGCCCATAAAACCTTGACCAACAAGCTAACCCACTTTGAGCATGATACAAAGGCCATTCAAGCAGCCTCAGCAGTCATTAACACCAACTTAGCCGCACTGAACAAAAATATACAAAACTTATGTAATAAATGTTCCTTTCTAGAGTTGTTAACAAAACCCTTCAAACACATGATTTGTTCTGGCTCATGGTCTGACAATAACCCTTTGTAAAATATTTAAAGGAATTCTCTCTCTACATGTTTCAGAATCCATTAGGGAAATCCTTCTATTATTTTTAGCTATTATTTTTGTTATAGTTCTTATTAAACATGCTATTAAAATGTTGTGCACCCTCAAGCTTAAGTAGGAAAAATTACAAAAAGACTGATTAACCATACCCTCACCATTCCTTTCTAGATGTGCCAAGAGCCTATGTTGAAGATTCCATATGTATTTTTGTACTTTTATCTGCCTATAGCTGGCAATGTGATTATTTCATTTATTTGACTGCTTTGTTGATTTGTTAACTTACCTTAATAAAGTTTTTCTTCTTTTTGACTTAATTCTTATTAGATGTGACTTTGAGTTGGGGTTTTAAAATTTGATCCTTACTTAATTTTGCTTTATTTGACTCAGTTTAATGTATCTAACTTGTTTGGATTTGATGTGATCTTTATTTTCTGTCAATTGACATTTCATATGATTTGAGATGTATTTGATTTCGTTTGATTCTCATTGAAAACACAATTGAATGGTTTGGATTTACCTTCCTCCACGTTAGCAAACTAGTACTGCTGACCCTAGTTTAAGACATATTTGATTCCTGTATGACCCTTAAAGATTTGTCATGAGGAATCATGGGGTAGAATGTAGAGAGCAAGATGGAATCACTCATGTCAAGCAGGGGCCCGTGTCAAGCAGTGATGCAAGCAGCTAAGGGCATTGCAGCTAAGACCAGATATCACTGAGACCAGCACCAGCTTTTGACACATTCAGAAGTGATAACCAATGGAAACAGAGGAGGTCTGCAAAGGCTCAAGACTGATTAAACCCCTTTAAAAAAGAGGATATTTGCAGCAAACTGTCAGACTCCTCAGACACTGACCTATGTCTGGTCACTTCAAAAAGGCAGCTGCTGCTGAAGGCTGCCTGATGTCCAAAAAGAACAGAGATCCTTCTTGTTATGTTATGCTTGAACATAATAAGCAGTAAGTGCCAAGAGCTGACCCAGACCGGAGTGAGGCCTTATCTCAACTGCTGGCTCACAGATTTTCACCTTTGGCTTGTTAACTTCCTGTCCTCTGTTCTCTACTGTTTGTTGTGTGGCTTGTGCTTTGCGTGACCTTTAAGAAGCCAAGTTAAACACCTGGTGAAATGTTACTGCGTTTAGAATACCAAACCTGCTTTATAATTGTTAACCTTGCTCTATGACTGAAAAAGCTGACATTGTGGAAAGACACAGCTCATGTGCGAGCCTTCATAGCGAGCTCCGGAAAGGCAGCTTCCTGTGTTCCCAGTTTTTTTTTTTTTAAGATTTTATTTATTTTTTTTTTGAGAGAGGGACACAGCGAGAGCGGGAACACAAGCAGGGGGAGTGGGAGAGGGAGAAGCAGGCCTCCCGCTGAGTAGGGAGCCCGATGCGGGGCTCGATCCCAGGACCCTGAGATCATCACCCCAGCCAAGGCAGAGGCTCAACGACTGAGCCACCCAGCCCGCCCGCCCCCAGTTTTAAAGGTAGGGAGTAACATCTGTCTCCCGCAGAGAAGCGCTTAAGGAGAGTGCAATCCTAGGGCCGGGGAAATCGGGTTTCCCAGGCCCAGGAGACAGAGCATGCGCAGTCCACGGGTCTTCCGCTGTGAAGGGGCCAGGAGGAAGGGAAAGGATCTTTGGGGTCCTTTAAAGAAACAGCCACACACCTTGGAGTGGCCTCCATATGTTTGGGTTTTTGGGTTTTGGCCCCAAGCCAAGTCTTCTTGAAGTCCCGCCTCTGAAAGCTCCGCTCCAACCTAAGCAGCTACGCCCGCGCCAGGGTCTCGGGAAGCCACACCTATTAGAAATCACCCGCCCCCTGGAGGCGGCTGGGCGCGCTCAGCAGAGCGGGCGGAGCACGCGGCAGGAGCAGACACTGCGGAAGAAGCGGCACTGGCAGGAGGCGCAGGGGTCGCAGCAGGCCGGCGCCGGCGCCTTGCAGCTGTCACGAGTGGCCACGCAGGGGGTGGGTGGCGGGGGCCGGGTCTCAGCCACGTTCTTCATGGAAGCCTTTTTCTGCGGGGAAACGCCGGGGCTGCCCAAGCCGGCCACGCCCACCCCACCCGTCCTCACATCTGCCTGGGAACTCCTTGGGTAGTGGGGACCCCAGACCAGACATCCCCACCCGCTGCCCCACTATCCCCTGGGCTTCATGTCCGCAAGGGGCCCCAGGGGTCCCTGCCTCCCCCAGTCATCCACCCTCTGCCTCCAAACCCATTAACATTTACTAACCTGGCTGGGCTTGGCCCACTTTTCTCCCTAGGGGATCCCACTCAGTTCTAGAGTTTTCACCACCTCTGCATCTTACCCCTTCCAGTGTATTTCCCAATCTCCTGTCAGTCCTGCCTTCACATTAAATCCGGATGCACCCACTTCACCACCTCGCTGTCCTAGGCCAAGCCACTATCTTTGGTGTGCTGCTCTGGCCCACTTACAGTCCGTCCTCCGTTGCACCAAACGGACCTCCCCGAAAACCTGTGATGGCAACCACTCTGGCTTAAAGCCCCCAGTGGGTTTTCTTTGAATTTGGAATAGACATAAATTTCACTTTGGCTCTTGAGGCCTTCAGGTTTGGTCCTGCCCACCTCCCTGAGCTGAGCTGTTGTTCCCACACTGCCTTCTTTCCGTGCACCAAAAGCAGAAAATGAGTCCCTGCTACAGGGCTTTTGAACTGGCTGCTCACTTTCCTGAAACCATTCTTTGCTGTGCTGTTCAGTCCATGTAGCCATCAGCCATGAGGCTACTGAGTACTTGAAATGTGTCTAGTGCAACTGAATCTTCAAATTCTATTTAATTTTAATTTACATTTTAAAATAGCAGTGTAAAATTTTTTCTTTAAACAATTTTTTTTGTTAGCACTACAGTTGACTTCATTAAAAATTAGCATCAGAATTGAGACGTACTGTGAGGGTAAAGATGCACCACCAGGTTTCAGACTTAGCACACACACAAAATAAAATATATCACTTTTTATATTGGTTACATATCAAAATGATATTTTGGATATATTGGGTTAAATATTACTAAAGTTAACTACACGTACTTTTTACTTTTTTTTTTAATGTGGCTACTAGGAAATTTAAATTTATATATGTGGCTCACATTGTATTTTTTTATTTTTTTTTTAAGCTTTTATTTATTTACATGAGAGAGAGAGAGCACAAGCAGGGGGAGCAGCAGAGGGAGATAGAGAAGCAAGCTCCTCACGGAGCAGGAAGCCGGGTGTGGGGCTCCATCCCAGTACCCTGGGATCATGACCTGAGCCAAAGGTAGACACTTTAACCTGTTGAGCCACCCAGGTGCTCTTCACATTGTATTTCTATTGGGGGTGGCTGCTTGAGATTACTGAATTTTTCAATACGTAAGTGCTGCTTCCTTGGGGAGGGCTTCTGAGACCACTCTTCCCTTCACTTTCATTGCCATGCTTTAATTCCTTTACAGTGTTTATTATCTGAATTTATTTTACCTATTTATTGGCTTACTTGCTGTTTGTCTACTTTCCCCACAAGAATGTAAACTCCATGATAGTGGGGATATATATCTCTCTTGTTCCACTTCTATAATCCCCATACCTAGCATGCAAATACATTTGTCAACTATGTATTCTTACATGTCAATCATCTGATCTGCTTGTTTACAGGGGTCTAGAGAGGAGCAGGGACTTTCTCAAAATCATACAGTGCCAGGTCTAAGACAGGAATAATGTGTGCATTTCAACAATGCCTTAATCCCATATTTCCCACAGTGTGGGAGCCTGTGCCATGGTAGTATGATTTTAGGTGGTACACGAGTATTAAATGACATTAAATCACATAGAGTGAGAAAGGATTCTTAATCTCTTTCAACTTTAAAGGCTCTGTTTGGTGCCAATATATCATTAATGCTTTCCCAACACGTTCCTATTTTCTTTCCTTCCTTCCTTTCTTTTCCTTTCCTTCCTTCCTCCCTCCCTTCCTTCTTGCTTTCTTTTTTAGGATTTTATCAATTTATTTGATAGAGAGCGAGAGAGCACAAGCAGGGGAAGTGGCAGAGGGAGAGGGAGAAGCAGGCTCCCCGCTGAGCAGGGAGCCAGCCCCAGGACATGAGGACTCGGATCAGGACCAGGTTGAGGACCTGAGCAGAAGGCAGACGCGTAAGCTGAACTGACTGAGCCAGCCAGGCGCCCTTTCCCAACACCTTCTAACCTGACTTTTAATACAGAGAACAAGCCTCAGCTTTAGAGCATTTGGCAGGCAACCCCATCCAGCTAAAATCCACTAACAATGTTTTATTTTCTTTATGCTTATTTTTATGGTTACCTTATATTTATGGCAAGTGATATTGACTTTCTATCATAGTTACATATTTCTTAAGTTTTAATTCAATTTTTAAAGATTTTATTTTTTATTTTATTTATTTATTTTATTAAAAAGAGAGTGAGAGAGAGAGAGCACAATTGGGGGGGAGGGAGAGGAAGAAGAAGACTCCCCACTGAGCAGGGAGCCCACTCTGGGGCTCCATCCCAGGACTCTGGAATCATGACCTGAGCTGAAAGCAGACACTTAACTGACTGAGCCACCCAGGTGCCCCTTAAGTTTTAATTTAATTTAATTTTTTTTTTAACCAACTGAGCCACCCAGGTCCCTTAGGTTTTAATTTTAAACAAATATATTAAGTAAATAAGTGAAACTCGGTTATGGCAAAAATTGTGTGTGGGGGGGTACCTGGCCGGCTCAGTCAGTGGAGCATGTGTGACTCTTGATCTCGGGGCTGTGAGTTCAGGCCCCACGCTGGGTGTAGAGATTACTTAAAAATAAAAGCTTTCAAAAAAAAATTGTGGGAAGTGGTTCTGAAATAACTGAGCTTTAGGAAACAGTGCATTCATTCAAAAGAATGAGTAATGGTGATATTTCAGTAAGAGGGCTGGCCCGTATAAGAAGATGTTTTTTAGCAAGTAAGCTATTTTGCTTAGTGAACCTTAGCTCTCTGGGCTTCTGTGGGGGTCTGATTCAGGGCTTGAGGCCAGGAAGCCTTTGGACAGCTTTCAGCTTCTTTCGTTCATGTAAGGCTGGAAAATCTTTCATTTAATTCCTAGCTAGAATTCTCTCTTAAGTCCGGTCCCACCCCCACAATGAGAACTCCCAGTCCTACCTTGGAAGATCTCTTCTTTTCCACCTCTTTTCTGCTGATCTTTTTGGATTTCTTGTTCAGCGCTTCAAAGAGAGACAGAAGGAGCAAAGCCAGATATTTCTGGAGGCCATGAGCTTCAGTAAAGTGGGAGGAATCGGAGGGGGCTCCAGGAAGTCTCAGGGTAGGGGAGAAGAAGGATTGGCTGGATAAATCACAGCTTGGGACTTAGACCAACAGGTTCTTGTTAGCCTGGCTGCTGAGCTGGAGCCAGGGACTGAAAGAAAAGTGTCCTCTGAGGGAAGGCAAAGAGGAAATCCAAGAAGGCCCTGAAAAATGGATTCGGTGTCATGTACATGGATGGACCTGTGTTTCCTGTATTCCTAATTTTCATTTCTCAGAGCTATGGAGCCAGGCACACCTGATTTGAATCCTGACTCTGCCATTTAACAGCTGTGTCTCCTTATGCAACCTACTTAATCTTCTTAAGATCCAGTTTTCTCATCTGTAAATAGGGTACTGTAATATCCACCTTGCAGGGTTGTCTTGAGGATAAAAAAGGTATGTTTATAAAGTGAGAAGTCCAGCACATCAAAGGTGATCAAAGGTGATACTTATTTTCCTGATACATCTAGAATATTCTCTTTTCGTAGTGAGAGGCAAGGCAGTGAGGGACATTAGTTTAGAACTTGGGTTCTGGAATTAAATACCTGGGTTTGAATTCTGGCTCTACCAATTAAGAACTGTGTGATCTCATGTTAGTCACTTTGCTAAGCCTCAATTTCCTCAACTGTGAAGTAGGAATAAAAAGTAGTACTCACTTTACAGTGCCTAGCACACAAGGAGTATATCTGTTACTATTATTTTTATCAGAAGAAGCTGAACTAGAAGATGTTTGGTACCAGGCTGTAATGCCCCTGATATTTTCCCCTGAGCGGTCATTCTCAATTCTCAACCCTGAAAGGACTAGTTCATCCCACACTCAGTTATATTCCGCAGCATTCTCTAACATTTTTACTGTTGACAGTTCTGTGATTCAGTAAGTTTCAGAAGTGCTAAGTTAAACCAAATTCACAAAGTGTCTTAACTTCAGGGTTTCTCTGAGCCTCTAACATGTGAAGCTGCGTATTAGATTAGTGGTATGCAGGGCTTTTTAAAACCATGAGTCAGGGAATACTTTAGTCCTCTAGCATTACTTTGAAGAGTAAGCACAAAGGAACTCTGACGTATGTCAATGAATCCCGGGGAGCATGTTTGATATCCTGTAGCCCCCTCTCATGGGCCAGAGTCCAGAGACTAGGCACCAAGACAGGCTACTTACCTACAATAGAGACAGAGGGGAAATCCAACAGGTTCACGGAGGAGTTGCTCCTTAGGCTTCTGTCATCCCTGGGCTTTTCCTCAGGTGCCAGGTGGCTGTAGGCAGTGAGGAAGCACAGGGAGACCAGCAGTGTGGCCAGGAGTAGGCGGAAGATATTCATCTTCTTGGAGGCCTGAGTGGGACAGAGATGGCAGTCAGGTTGGTGGGCCAGGGGTCCTGGCAAGAGGATGTGCCCTCTTGCTTTCCTTGTGTTTCTTTGGGCTGGTGCTCTGACCCCATTTTATAAGGGTCCCAGTGGAGTTGGAGGACCACCAAGGCTTAGGGTGGGAAAGAGGAGCTAATGAAGGAAGCAGAGAGAAAAGGAGAGATAGAGAGAGGAAGAGAGACAAGGGAAGGAGGGAGATTGAAGCAAAGAGAAAAAGAACACATTGCAGTTGGTCTCTGTCATCCGGGGTGGGGGGGGTGGTTTTTTTTTTTTTTTTTTTAAGTCAGTGGCCCCAGGAGACCCTAAGCTTGGGCAGAATTGTTGAATGGTCCCCAGTAGCGCCTCACAGTGGTAGAGGTTTTACTAAGGTGCAGAGGATAAAGCTCATAAGACTCTCTGAGAAAGATGCAGTGATAAATGGCATCTTCAGACAAGTGTATATGTTGTTGCATATGCCGTATTCCCATGCCCAGAGGGAATGATGCGGGTACGGTTTATGTGAGAAGGATGGACCTGTTGACGTAGGCTAACTGCATTTGCTGACTTATTGCTAGCTGGATTTTGATGAAGCAGACAGATCCTAGAGTGGATTTCTTCCCATGCATCCTCCGTTTGGCTTATATTAGGGTTCAAAACTTCAGTAGCATCTTCACCTTCTCTGAGTGTGGGATCCCCACTCCTTCCCTGCTCTGCACATTGTTTTCTCCGGTCTGGGAAAAAACAGTCTGCTTTTCCAAAGTTCTCTCTGCCCAGCCACAAAGCACCGTGGGTGAGAGGAGAATAAAAACAATCTGCTCATGCTGGTCTTGCCGCTCCTGGGGCTCCCCTTACAGCAGCCTGGCAATTTCTAGCCTACTCCTTCCAGCCTAATAAACTACAATTAACAAAATACAATTTCTTAGGACCTAAGTAATTTAGTGGAACTATATAACTAAACTGAGTCTGAGAAGGGCGAAATCTCAATGGAATTAACCTTATTTGTGTGTTGGGAGAGGGCAAAGAATGACTACTCCTTGCACCAATTCTGGAGAGGGATATGTATATCCTAAATGTAATACAGGCCTGTGATGCCTAGTTGTATTATCATCCTCAGGGTCAGATTTTCTTTCTTTCTTTCTTTTTTTTTTTTTTAGAGTTCAGAATTGTGTGGATTTTAGAAAACTAATATCATCTATATACTATGTTAAACCACATACAAGGGGTCTGGGAGTACCCATAATAAAAATTTTGATACTTCTGCAGCAAAAAGGTGGGGATATTCATAATAAACAGGATAGACAAAGACTATGAATTGATTTGCATCAACTGAGCATAGCTTTTGTTGCCAAGAGACTTCAGGTAAGGTCAGATTTTGCCGCCAAAGGAAAAAAGAAAACTGACAGTTTTCAGACTTTTGGGATTTTGCAGTTTCAGGTAATGGATTATGGACCTGTACAAACCTTCATTGCTGTTACTACTCAACATGGGACACACACGTCCTGCTATTAATATAGGATAATAACGCTGACAGCAATGACTACTTGTGCAATTGTGTTTCTCAAGAGTAATTCGTCCTTCCATTCTGTCATGGTGAAGACTGTTCTTTGATCTGTGGTATCACTGGAGACAGTTCCTTCTCTTAAACTCATCATCTGGTTTAAGTTACTACTCAGGATTTAAGATGAGATTCTGTTCAGCATGGTGGATAGGTGACCTAACTCCCCTGGATGTACCTGCTATTTATGTGGCTGTATGACCCTGGATGCATCCGGGCCTCTGCTTTCTCTTCTGTAAAAAGAGAGGATAGGACTACATGACTTAGTACACATTATGAGGCACAGAACTGAAACTTAATAAAGACTTGTTTAATGAATGAAAGAATCTTAAGACCTTTCTAAAATCCTATGAATCAGTGATTTCTGATTCTTGCTTCCTGGACTTTGGAGCAGGTTGACCAGTTGTACAAGAATTTTGTTATAAGGCCACTTGTATATCCTTAAGAGTTAAGGGATTTGCAAATGCATGAATATGACCGAATCTGATTAAACCCTGGAAAAGAGGGCATGGAAAGTCATGGCTAAATGCAACTGACTGTATCTCAGGAGTCTTGCTGATGTGTGTGTGCACATGTGCATGTATGTGTGTTGTACGAGCACATGGGTGCTAATACATAATGGCTCCAGTTGAGGGGATATGGGAGACAACAGTATCCAGATCATCTCTGAGTTTGATAAAATGAGTACACAGTATACCAGTGTAGAGTGCACACTCACTATGCACTGCAGATACCCCCTTAGCTGTAGCACTGGGGATAGCCTGATACCTTAATCCTTTAGGGTCAAGGCCTTGGTCCCCAAAGCAAAAGAAAGGATTATAATCTCCCAGTGATGAGGAAGGGCTAACCACCTATTGGGACAGAGGTATAGTGAGAGATAAGAGCTGAGGAAGAGGTGAAGGCAGCAGAGTCTTGTTGAAAAGAGTGAGCAATATTAGTTGCTGACCATACTACGTGTAAATGAGGTGCAGCCCTGACAGCCTGCCTTGGGTTTTGCTCGTGGCATCAGTGAGGGGAACCAAGGTGTCTGGGAAGCCAGCAAGTTGGCATTGCTGGGGAGGTGACTGGGCTCTGTTGGTTCTAATAGTGGCTTCTATCAGTCTTGCCAAGCACCAATTGCCAGGAACATGGGGGTCTGGGTGAAGCTCATCCCTGTGGAGGAAAAGAGTGGCCAGAAGCAAAGTAGTGTTTGGTAGAGGCCTAACATAGAGGAGCATCTCATATAGGCCAGTGGTGTTGGAGGCAGACTCTCCCCTGATCAATCTTTTGGAACAAAACATATAATTGGGAAGAAAAGGAAATTAAAGCAGGAGGGAATCTCACCTTGAGATTGTCTGCAAACCTTTGCCCATATATGCATTTTTTTCCGGGGAGAAGGTCCATAGCTTTCTCTGGATCTATAAGGGGGTCTCTAGCCCCTAAAAAGCTCAGAACCCCTTCTTTGCAACTTGAGTGAGGCTCATCCAGAACCACAGGCACATGAGAACAGAGGATACTGTCATTTTATTTTTCTGTTCAGGCAATAATTGAGTTCTATACCTGGGAAAGTGTGCTTGTTGGAAGGGGCATATCATTCCAGTACTGGTATAAAATAAAGAAATATAATAATGAAGCAAATCAAAAAATATAAACACTATGGTTCCATTTGTGAACAAATACCAAAATTCCCTCAAATGTAAATACGCTTACATATGCAAAGAAAAAAGAGTGGAAGGATACACATTAAAATTTTAATAATGAGGGCGCCTGGGTGGCTCAGATGGTTAAGCGTCTGCCTTCAGCTCAGGTCATGATCCCAGGGTCCTGGGATCGAGTCCCGCATCAGGCTCCCTGCTCCTTGGGAGCCTGCTTCTCCCTCTGCCTCTATCTCTCTGTCTCTCATGAATAAATAAATAAAATCTTCATAAACAAATAAATAAAATTTTAATAATGAATAATTCTTAGGAGTGGAATTGAGGATGGGGAGTGAGGTAGAGACATGTACTTCTTCATGTACTTCTGTATTTGAACTTCCTTTTCAAGAAGGTTATTACTTTGGGGCACCTGGGTGGCTCAGCTGGTTAAGCATCTGCCTTCAGCTCCGGTCATGATCCCGGAGTCCTGGGATCGAGCCCCACATCGGGCTCCCTGCTCAGCGGGGAGCCTGCTTCTCCCTCTCCCTCTGCTCCCCCCTCTTTCTCTCTCTCTCAAATAAATAAATAAAATCTTAAAAAAGAATGTTATTACTTTGTAATAAAAAAATAAAAGATGATAGAAATAAAATACTGAATGCTACTTGACATAACATCAAAGGATTTAAAGAAGATGGATGGAGAGTTATATTTGATTTCTGACATTGCGGCTGTGGAATTTGCAGGACCCTCCTCCCCATTTGTACCTCAAATTCAAGGGACAGTTTGCTCTCAGCACCTACTGCTCTGCCACCAAAATGTAGGGCTTTCTCATAGCATATCTTCCTTTTACCCTTCTCTGTCCTGGAAAGCTCTCAAAGCCTTTTACCCTTCTGGTTCATCAGCCACTGTTTCTGATATGCCAAAACCTAGGAGAGGTAACACAAAATTTTTGTTATGGTTTTGTTTCTCAGCCAAATGAGCTATACCAAATACTGAATGTCAGAGCTACAGGAGAAATATCTCTCATTCATAATTACCTAGAGTCCCCCCACAAGATGTTCAGTGGCTGCACAGGAATCCTACCACCCTACACATCTTTGACCCATCTGAGCAACAGGTGATAGGCATCCATGACAGGTGTCTGGCTGTGTTGAGCTTAGGAGGCTCCATTAGGGCTATCGGCTCATTCCTTAATGTTTCCTCAGGCTTATCAGTGATGGTAATTCCTGGGGTAGCATGAAGGTGTCAATATGTTTTATCTATTTAGTTTTCTCCTAGAATAGCCAATCAAGCAACAAATATTTTCTGAGGCTTCCTTCCCATGGCAGTTAGTGTTACAGGATTAGGCAGACCTCTGAGAAGGGCAAGAGAAGGAGAAGCAAAGAAAGAAGGGTTCAGGAACTTTGGGACATGATGTTAGGAGAGGAGATTTTGCTGAGAGTGGGGATGGGACACCAAAAGGGAGGAAGGGACTGATGGAAAGGGCCTGAAGGAAGGCACTTGAGGGACTGAGCCCAGCATTCCAAGGGATCATTTAATTAACCTCATCTATAACACGTGGGGAAAACCGTTAGAAAGACAAGGCCAACAGAGTGTGAGGAATTCACCAACTTCATAGTTCTTGCTCTGTCTTTGGTTAACCCAGTCCCAGAGGTTCAGCATCCCTGCTGAACTGCTAACCAAAGCTACCCTAAGGCCAAGCCACTGACACTGATGCCTAGACAACTGTGAATGTCTCATGTGTGTGAATGTCTCTTTATTGACATCCTGCCTCCTTTCTTGTTCCATTCCATCCATTCCCCAAATAG